CGCGGCTATGTTTTTCACTCTGCCCGAGCTGACTCAGGGCCACCCCAGCACTGCGAGCTGGTGCACACCTCGACGCCTGCGCGCCAACTCGTCGAGCTCTGCCGCCCAGCGAGTCACCGCCGAGGTCGCGGTGGGCGATGACCAGCTTGTCGTCTGAAAGCCTCCACCTGGTATTCTGCAACAACTCAAGTAGTTGGCCGTGGTCAGACATCATGAACTTGGTCTCGCCCCAGTTGATCGGCAATTTCCTCGGCTCCAACTCCAATGTGACAATCTCAAAGCTGGCAATCGCGTTCGTCACCACTGTTCGCGATTCTCCGACGGCGCGCGTCGTCGAGTCGCCCACAACATTCAGAGCTCGGCACGGCGGGGTCTACACTGCCAAGGGCCCGAGGAGACGTCATCAACTTCGAAACTCCATCTGCTGCACTACGTCGCGCCACAATCGTTCTGCTCGGACCGTTCGAATGACTGACTCTGCCGGCCCCTCCCGCCCACCTTGCCGTGCGAGGCGCGCGGTAGAGGCAACGCAGCACCTTGAGCAGGGCACCGTCGAAGCCGTAATGCTCCGCAGCTTCCGAGCAGCTTCCCTCAGCTGTTGATGACTAACGTTCTCGCAAAACTTGCGGATGCCATAAATACAGCTATCGCAGACCAAACTTTCCGTGTTGCATGGCACGCCAACATGTCATGCAGGCATGCCGCTGTGCCACAACTGGTTGCTGCACCCTCTCCCCAGAAAAATGTGGCCCCAACTGAGTCCTCCCAACTCTTGACATATCGCCTCCTGCAGCGGCTCCAAATACGCACCCAAAAACATAGAAGGCCGATGGGCCTGGTTCCACCACCTGGCTTTGGAAGAAAACATTGACCGTTTACCACATCCCTTCACACTGAGGAGTACGCCCCCAGCCCGTGGGAATCTCCTGCAACCTCTGAACGAACATACCATCCAATATACGAATCAATCTCGCGTGGAAGTTGTCCCTGCCCAGGCCAGTAGATGGACTGAACAAGCGACGCACCTGCATGAACTGGTCCTCAGAAGTCGGGTCGAGCGTCCACGGGCAGCCCCAGTCAGACGGCGCAGCCTCCTGTACCCATCGTCAGGGATCCACGGCTCTTCCCATTCTTCCAGCACTGCAGTGATTGCAGCCGCTCCGATCAGCCCGCGTGGCTGACCCCTGGCCAGAGTTGGCGCCCCCCCCCAGCCCGTTGGGCAGATCAACCGCATGGGCCAGCTTTACAGAGCCCTCAGCTGCAGATGCCCCGAACTCACGCCAAGCCCTACGTCTGGCCTGAGAGTCCTGACGCCTGCACTCCTCCACCTCCTCCGAAAGCAATGTTCAAAGCCAGGCTGACAGCTGCCCTCCTCTCTTGGCCAAGACAACCCACTTCTGGACCCCCTTCGCCTTCAGGGATGGGGGCTCCGAGATGGCCTCGGGGAGCTCAAGGGCCATCAGCTTCTTCTCGCATCTCTCAACGTGTTCAGGTCGGCCTGCGTTCGACCCCGGCGGAGCTGCGGACGCCGCGCAAAGCAACCCATAGCCTGAGTGCGCTCACCCACAACCTGGCGCCCGTCTCACCGTGGCGCTCAAGGGTGGACCTGGAGCAGTCCGCCAGCCGCTTCTTCTTCAGCACAACCCCCTTTGCTCTACCAACAGACAGTCGCCTGTCTGAGAAAGGGATCTCGAAAACCTGCACCAGGTACTTTTCGGCCGCCATATACCACTGCGCTGCTGCGTCTTCCACAGAATCGAAGCGGGCGCCGAGCCGCCACTCTGACAACACCTGAACCGAGGGGGGCGCAGCCGCAGTGGTGAGGTCGACGACGCTGGCGCTCTTGGCCTTTCCCAGGCTTTCCGTTTCGCCTCCTGCTCCGCCAGCGGGAAGGCTCCCGGCGGAGCTTCTACCCAGACAAATGCCGCGCCCCTCAGGTCGTCAACCATGATCTCAACGTAGCAGCGCGGCGAAATCAGCGCATCCACCCTCGCTGCTACCCTCATAAGGAAAGCGCCAAGGATCTGGGAGCCAATGAAGTAGCAGCACTCCTTCCCATTGAAGGCGGGCAGCCCAGGGGCGAAGATGGTCGCCATCGTCAAATGCAGCCAGCCGAGTTCCATAATCTCTTCTGGCTCAAGGTCCTAATCGCCCCCCAAGGGAAAAGGGGAAGCGCTGGGCGCCCAGGAAGGCACTGAGGAACTCCAGCAGCTCGAGGTTCTCCCCCTTGGGACCGATCGAATCAACTCCGTAGACCGAGCCGATGATGATCCAAGAATTGGCCCCCGAGGTCATGAGCCCCATCACAACTCGATGCTGCCACTTCTCAGGGATCTCCAACTTGGCCACTCCTATCTCGATGGCTGCAGATAATCCAACTCCCACTGGCAGTGCCCTGGCTCCCCCCCCCCCCCCCCCCCCCCGTATGCTTAGGCGTTCAAGAGCGAGCTTCCGCGAGCAAGCGCGGGCCCACTGGCATGCACCTGCATCGACCGAGGGGCCCAGCGCTGTCTCCTGAATGTACGGCACATGGGCATCTGGCACTGCTTCTCGACCCAGGGCATCGCGCTGCGTGCCCTGGGCCAGCTATTCGCATTCATGGCGCCGACTCTGCAGGATCCCTGCGCGCCCGCTTCTTCATGAGGAAGACATCCCTGGAGAGAGACGACCTGCTTGGACGCGCCAACCTCTCGAGACTTAGCCAGGGGCTGTTCGCAACTTACTCGAGATGGTGGCGGGTTCGAGGAGCTGCCAGCACCAGCGCCCTGCCTTCCCGCATCCATTGCCGATGCCAAGGCCTTCCCGCAATCCACTCTGAGACGACCAGGCTCGAGGAGCACCTGGTCGCCGCGTTCGGACAAATCCACTGCAGTCGCGCCCTCAACCAGGCCCGAGCATCCTGACGCATTGCCACCCCCCCCCCCCCCCCCCCCCCCCCCCCCCCCGCGCACGCAGCAAAAGGTTTGGGCGAGTAGGCCGCCAGGCTGGACCTCCTGACGGCCGCATTCTGACATGGTGTCACTCCAGGCAGCGGCGCCGCTTCCTCACAATTCAACTCAGAGGGGACCGGGCTCGAAGAGCACCCGACCCTCGATCCGACAAAACAGGCAGCGGCCGAAACTGACGACGACCGCGACACCGAAGAGGAGGGCGTCGCCGACATCGACGCTGACGGAGCCACCGAAGTAGATGGCCTCGGCGACCCACACGCGGCAATCGACGAAGCCGTCGGCGCCGCCTCCTCCAGCGGGGCCACCAGCCAAGAACTCGCACCTGCCGCCAGGCTGGCGGGTTCACGCAGACGGGGCCACCTCCCCTCAAGGAGGAACGCCTTCTCGGGAGGGCTGGCACCGAGCGAGGACCAGGTACGTGGAGCTGCCGAAGGCGATGGCCTCGCCCCAGGCAACGTCGAACTCGCGGTCTCCGACTGGCGAAATCCCTGACTTCCCTGCCGCCTGCGCAGCAGGGCCAGCAGCCACACGAGCACGAATATCAAACTTGGGAGGTGGCGTGTCTGCTGGCTGCGTCTCTGACTGCCCTGCTGTCGAGGGCTCGCCTTGGCCAGGGGTCGCGGCAGGAGATGGTTCAACTGGTGCCCCAGCTCCGTCACCTTCAGACGCATCGACTCGACGACGATTCGCTTGCAGGCGCTTGAGGTGCTATTTGTGCTTGTCTTGGCACTCGTTCGCCTCGTCCATCGCTTGCCGAAAGACCATGGTGAGCACCTCCTGCGTCTGCTTGGCCGCGTCGTTCTTGCGATCTCCGAACTCCCGAATGTTCTCTTCCGATACTTCATAGTTGCCCTTGACAGCCTCCACATCAATAAAGTCACCCACAGGGATGACAGAGGCCAATTCGACCTCTCCCTCGATGAGCTTACGGAGACTGATGAGCGGCGTGGCCTCCACAGCTTCGGACTGCACATTGTGCTGGCTCTGGAGCTCCGCGAGCGTGGCGGCGACCTCAACATCAACCCGCTGGAACTCACGTTGCATATCCTTGACCATGATCGCGAGATCCCCTGTGGCCGCCCTCCAGCGCTGCAATTGCTCGAACTCGGCGTTGAGCTTCTGTTCCAGCTTCTCCTGCTTCTGCTCCGCCTCGATGAGCCTCTGGCGTCCTGACGGCCTGGGCGGTGGGGCTGCACGCTTCGCCAAAGCGACATAGCGCGCCGCCCCTTCAGAGTCGCCAGCCGCTTGAGCCAGACGCTGCAGCTCGAGCGCCTTGGACTGAAGTATCTCAGGGATGGGCCCTGGGGGAAGGGCCAGAGAAGAGCCCCCAGGTCCTTTTCCCCTTTCCGCGGCTCACCTTTACCACCCTTCCCTTTCTCCCCCACTTTGCCAGCACCCTTGCCAATTTTTTCCCCCCAACGAAGGCCAGACTCAGGCACCTCGGGCTGAAGGGGACGGGTTCCGAGCTTCTGGCAGCAATGCTTGCAATGCATCGTTCCCTTGGGGTTCTTCCGGCAACCGCAATGGTGACATTGAATTTCTCCTTTGGGGCTCGCCACCGTCTTCCATTCTTCACTGAACTTGTCATGCTTGCTGTCCCGTTCCTCCCACCATGCGACCGATCCTGCCCCACCAGGGATACGTCCTCACCAACGGCGGGGCCGCGCTGCTTGCACCCAGGGGCGACGCTCACACTCATCACTACCAGCGCCGCCCATGCCGCACGAAGCCCTATGGAGGGCGATATCGTGGAAGGCCTGCTCATCCGCGGGCAGCGGGAGGCAGACACCAGGCTGGGGCGGATCAATTGGTGTGAAAAATTCTCGGACACAAGGTCCTGGCACTGCCGCGGACTAGCGGTATCCACTTGGTCCCACGGGGAACCTAGAAACTTGAGCCAAAATGGCTTGAGCCAAAATGCTTACGGAAGGAGGCGGAGGAGGAGGAGGCGGAGGCGGAGGAGGAGGAAGAGGAGGAGGAGGAAGACGAGAAGGAGGAGGAGGAGGAGGGAGGACACCTCCCGCACTCCACCAGAACCCCGGGGAAGGCCTCCACGCAGGCGAACCGCGCCCAAGCGGCCACGTCCGCGACGCCGCCCGCCCCCTCGCCGCCCGCGAGGCGGTCCAGCCGACGCCTCTCCTGCCGCCAGGAGGGAGCGCGCCGGGGGCGGGGAGAGGAGGAGGAGGAGGAGGAGGAGGAGGAGGAGGAGGAGGAGGAGGAGGAGGAGGAGGAGGAGGAGGAGGAGGGGAGAGGGAGGATAGAGGGAGGGGCGGAGGGAGGAAGGGAATGATGAGAAAAGGAGAGCGGGAGAGTGGGGCAAGCCAGGGTGCGCTCGCGCCACATCCGACATCGTAGGCCTCCCACCCATCCCTTCCCATGGTGCTGATCTGCCTCTGTCGGACGACGCGTGTCATCGCAGACCTGGAATTCCAAAACGGACCCCATCGTGTCATGCGCAATCGGAGAACGGGAGCTGCGTACATTGGAAGAGGTGGCGGACGAGGAGGAGGAGGAGGAGGAGGAGGATAAGGAAAGAGGACGACTAGAACGAACAGCAGCAGCAAGAACTGTAGAGGGAAGAGCAGGAGGAGCAGGAGGACCCGGGAGAGGCGGAGGTGGAAAGAGGGGGCGACAACGGTGCGGAAGGACTCAGATGCAGAAGCGTGGCCCGCGCGGCAGCACCCTTTGGAAGGACCGCAACGACCGGATTGCACCCTAGATTCCCCCCAAAAAAAATGCCTGCAGCTGGGCATTATTACTTCTGCTCTGAGGAACTGGTCCGTGTCTGCGGTCTGGTGGCTGTGGCTGCCGTCGCCACCCCGTCGCTGCCACATCGCCGCCCGTCGTCTGGGCCGTGTCTTCGGTCTCGCGGCTCAGTATGTGGCCGCCGTCGCCGCCCTGTCGGCGCCTCGTCGCTGCCCGTCGTCTGGGCCGTGTCTTCGGCCTGGCGGCTATGTGGCCGCCGTCGCCGCCCCACATAGACTCTCCTTTGTAAAAAATGATCCCAGTGCGACCCTACCTAGGAGTTGGAGCATCTGGGAGAGCAACATCTACATCTACACCGACAGCTACATTAACATCTACACCTGCATCTACATCTACATCAACATCAGCAGCGAGACTCACATCTACATCTACATCTACACCTACATCTACGCCTACATCTACATCTACATATACATCTACACCTACATCTACACCTACATCCACATCTACACCTACGCCTACGCCTACATCTACATCTACATCTACAAGTTCGCACTGGTGTTGCTGTTGCTGTGCATTGCCTTGCCGTTGCTGTTGCGTTTGCTTTTGCTGTTGCTGTTGTTTTTGCTTTGCTTTTGTGTTTGCTGTTCCTTGATGTTGTGTTTGCTTTGCCTGCGCAGAGGCACACACACGCATGTGTTGCTGCTGTTGATTTGCCGTTGCGTTGATGCTATGCTATGCTATGCTATGCTGCGCTATGCTATGCTACAATATGCTATGCTATGCTGCACTATGGTATGCTATGCTGCGCTATGCTATGCTATGCTGCGCTATGCTATGCTGCGCTATGCTGCGCTATGCATGCTATGCTAGGGTATGCGAGGCTGTGCTATGGCATGCTAGGCTATGCTATGCTATGCTATGCTGCGCTATGCTATGCAATGCTGCGCTATGCTATGCTAGGCTATGCTATGATATGCTATGCTGCGCCATGCTATGCTATGCTATGATATGGTATGCTATGCTGCGCTATGCTATGCTATGCAATGCTATGTTATGATGCGCTATGCTGCGCTGTGCTATGCTATGTTAGGCTGCGCTATGCTGTGCTATGCTATGATATGCTAGGCTATGCTCCGCTGTGCTAGTATAAACTATGGTATGATATGCTACGCTACGCTGCGCTATGATATGCTATGATATGATAGGTTAGTATGCGCTATGATATGCTGCGCTATGCTATGCTATGCTATGATATGAAATGATATGCGATGCTATGCTATGCTAATGTTGCGCTAAGCTAAGCTGAGCTGAGCTAAGCTAAGCTGAGCACAGCTACGTTAAGCTAGGCTAAGCTCAGAGGAGATAATCAACGCTAAGCTAATGGGACGTAACTGGGGGAACCGCGGGGCGGATCCTGGGGGATCCGCCCGGGGCGATTTGCACTGCCCGGCCCTTTAACACAGAGAATAAGAACCCTTCTAGGCAGAGCCTAGGTCGGGAATCCGCCGATCCGGCGTGAGAGTTTCTGACAGCGTGGGCTTGAGCTCGCTCAAGCTTCGCTCTGCGGAGGGGGGGAACCTCATTTCCGACAGATGTCCGACCTATTTCCGACCTATTTCCGACCTAATTCAGTGCTTCGCACCCCCCCCCCCTCCAGAGAGGACCCACCCACCTGCAGGGCGCCCCCCCCCTCCTGCAGCCCAGCCCCCCCCCCCTGCAGAGCGGACCCCCCCCCTGCACCCCCCCCCCCTTGCAGAGCGGATCCCCCCCCCTCCCTGCACCCCTCCCTTGCAGAGCAGGCCCCCCCTGCAGAGCGGACCTCCCCCTGCAGCCCCCCCCCCCCCTGCAGAGCGGACCCCCCCCCCCCTCTCCCTGCACACCCCCCCCCCCCCGCAGAGCAGACCCCCCCTCCTGCACCCCTCCCCCTGCAGAACGCCCCCCCCCGCCTCTGCAGCCCAGTCCCCCCCCCCCCCCCTGCAGAGCGGACCCCCCCCGTGCAGCCCCCCCCCCTGCAGAACGAACCCCCCCCTCCCCTGCACCCCCCCCGTGCAGAGCAGATCCCCCCTCCTCCCCCCCCCCCCTGCAGAGCGGACCCCCCCTCTCCCCTGCAGCCCCTCCCTCTGCCGAGCGGACCCCCCCTGCAGAGCAGACCCCCCCCCCTGCAACCCAGCTCCCCCCGTCGTCGTCGTCGTCGTCGTCGTCGTCGTCGTCGTCGTCGTCGTCGTCGTCGTCGTCGTCGTCGTCGTCGTCGTCGTCGTCGTCGTCGTCGTCGTCGTCGTCGTCGTCGTCGTCGTCGTCGTCGTCGTCGTCGTCGTCGTCGTCGTCGTCGTCGTCGTCGTCGCTCGCGTCATCGTCGTCGTCGTCGTCGTCGCTCGCGTCGTCGTCGTCGTCGTCATCACCGTCGTCGTCGTCGTCGTGGTCGTTGTCGTCGTCGCTCTCGTCGTCGTCGTCGTCGACGTATTCGTTTTCGTCGTCGTTTTCGACTTCCTCGTCGCCTTTGATTTCCGCAGGCACCCGGAGCGCCCCGGATCGGCGGCACTGGCCGGAGGCCGCTACAATATACTCTACCCCCCGCCCCCCTTTTCGGGTATGTAAATCATATACGATTCAGACCACATGTCCACCCGAAGTATGAATCTACACTATCCCCAGGGAAGCGGTATCGCCCCCCTGAGGTTCCCTTTTTTTTGTGTTTTCTTTTTTTCTTTTTTTTTCTTTTTTTTTAAATAAAAAAAAAAAAAAAAAAAAAAAAAAAAAAAAAAAAAAAAAAAAAAAAAAAAAAAAAAAAAAAAAAAAAAAAAAAACACGATACGCGGGGACATATCTTGCTCGAACAAAGAATTGTTCACGAATCCCTTCCAAAAATAGGACGAAGTGCACACGCGCGCGCCGTCGCGCGCTCATGCAGAAATCCTTCAAAAACCTTCAGTGTCGGAAGGATGTCGCAATGGAGCTTCCAAAAAGAAAACATACAAAAACACAAGGTTTCGCAACACTAATGTGTTAAAAAAGCTTACGCGCGAGCTCTTGCGAAATCTTCAGAAAACCAAGCGTTTTTTCAAGATTTTCAAAACATGCTACAAAACGGGCTTCGCGCGCGCGCACGTCGAAATCTGTCGAACGCCCTTTGCGTGTGTGCCCTCGCGAGAACCCTCTGCAAAAAATGAACGAAGTGCAGACGCGCGCGTCGTCGCGCGCGTATACCGAAATCCTTCAAAACCCATCGGTTCGGGAAGGATTTCAAAATCGTGTGCCCCAAAAACCTACAAAACACACAAGGTTTCGCAACACGGATGTTCAACAAAAGCGGGCGCGCGCGCTCTTGCGTCGTCGTCGTCGTCGCCGTCCTCCCTCCTCCCGCGTCGTCGCCGTCGTCGCCTACGTCGTCCTCTGTCTTTCCTCGTGTTCGTCGTCGTCGTCCTCTTTGGCGTCGTGGTCGTTTCCGTCGTTGTCGCCGTGGTCGTCCTTCCTCCTCCTCCCTCGTCGTCGTCGTCGTCCGTCGTCGGCGTCTCGTCGTCGTCCCTCCTAATTATCTCGTCGCCATCGTGGTCGTCGTCGCCGTTGTCGTCGTCGTCGTCTTCCCTCCTCCCTCGTCGTTGTCGTCGTCGGCGTCGCCGTCCTTCCTCCTTCTTCGTCGTTCGCGTCGTCGTCATCCTCCCTCCTCCCTCGTTGTTGTCGTCGTTGTCGTCGTTGTCGCCGTCGTCGTCCTCCCTCCTCCCTCGTCGTCGTCCTCGTTGGCGACGTCGTCGTCGTCTTCGTCTTCGTGGGCGTCGGCGTCGTCGTCGTCGTCGGCGTCGTCGACGTCGTCGTCGGTGTCGTCGTAGTCGGTCTTAAAAGGCTCTGCAAACCAAGGTGCGGGTGGGTGGGTGGGATGTTCGCGAGAGCGTGGGATGTGTCAAATCATGGGTAAAAATCAGATGCACCACATAGATTGCACAACATCGGTTTCACCACATGACGCGCACCATAGAAACTGCGCACCACATAGATCGCGTAGATCCTACCCCCCCCCCACGGCGTTATCGGCCACCCTTCGGGTATGCAAATCATACATGATTCTGACCACATGTGCATCCTAAATACGAATGTACATTACCCAGGGGAAACCCGTATCGCCCCCCCCCCGAGGTTCCCTTTGTACAAAACGATACGCGAGGACATATATAGTTCGAATGTAAGACTTGTTCACGAAACTCGTGCAAAAAGTGGAACAGTGCATACGCGCGCACGCCGTCGCGCGCGCGTGCCAAAATCCTTCAAAAACCGTCGGTGTCGGAAGGAGTTTGCAACGAGTTATATACATATATATATATATAAATAGATATATATGTATATATGTATATATGTATGTATATATATGTATCACTTTCTATGATAAAAAATACAACAACAACAACAACAACAACAACAACCAAAAAAAAACACACAAAAAACAC